CGGTAATGTTCAGGATATTTAAAAGTGAGGCTTTCGATGATTTTGCTATGGCATTACCGGAGCAGTTTTTTGAACAACTTTACCGATTTATATCCTCATATTTATACGGGCTTTCAATAGCAGTTGACTTAATACCACAAAAACTCCAGCTATCATCATTTTGTTGTACGATGAAAGGAAATAATACATCAAAAGAAATTTTACATCAAAGCAAATAGATAAGCTTTTATCGAATGTATCACGAACGAAAATTTCAAATGACAATTTAGTATACATATTTTAAAGGAATACAATCCAAGTATGGGAAATATTCTGTAGATAGCACAGCTTGACTGTGCCCCTGGGGTTGCTGTAAACTTATATACCTACAACGGTAATGGTATAAACTGTACATTATTATGTATTCACCAGTGCTCATGAGCATTACAACGTCAATGCCGCACCGACTCAATGTCGAATTCTCACCTTTATTGATTGCATTCTCTGGCAATCAAGTTCCAACCATAAAATTGTAATTTATAGATATATAGAACACTGATAGCTATACTAAAATGGTTTCCTAGTAGTAGCCTGACGGATTTTTAAGGAGATTCTGTCATCCTCTATTTACAAACACCACCCGCTACCGGATCTGGACCCATCCACACTGGATCTCGACTGCACCCATCCACAGTTCTATATGAGGTATATGGCATGTCTTCTTGCAAACGAGGAGTTCTCGATAGGCAGTGATATGGCTACACCGTTACAAAAGTTTAAGCTGCAAGCCTTGCTCTAGTGAACCCCTTTTTATCTTTACGACACCGACGGAATTTTTTTAAGTAATTAACAAGCAAATTTGTTAATATTTTCGACAAATATGTGTTCTTTATGTTAGTTCCAATTAGGTTGAATAAATACGTACAGTCAAGCACACCAAAGTAGAATTTTCACTCAAAGTCCAAAGCTATTAAGACAAAAAAATAATAATTATCACAGCTTTTTTTTCTATAAATACATACTTTGTTTTATTTCAGCATTTAGTTCAAATAAATTCAGTACAATAATAATCTGTCATAAATTCTGCAAAGAAAATTAGCATAATTATCAATTTTTCTAAAGCTAAAAAATGGTTTTACAGTAAATGACATCACTTTAATCCAATAGAACTCATCTGTTCGTATTTCCAAAGTAGGGACGTCTGTAATGAGAGTTGTTTTGTAACAAAACAGTCATTTGAAAGAAACATTAGCCCCAAACAATCGACGAACAAGAATCGCTAAATTGACTCGATTGAAGTCACAATTATTGATGACTCTTTCGTCTTAATGGTCTTCTGTAAGCTACATCTCAATGCTATGTCCACTTAAGATAAAAATTGTATAAATTTACTACCAATTAATTCTAGTTTATAATTAATACAAATGCAAACAAACAGACATTCTAGAAGTGTAAAAATCTTTGTTAATTATAATAATATACTTAATAATATAGCTTAAGCGTTTAGTAAACATTTTTATTTGTTATATTATCAAATCATAAGTACGTTTACTAATATATTACACAAGTAAAGATCTGTTGCAGTTTTGGATTAAACCGAAAGTAATGGAATAAAACAATAGGAACTTTCAGAGTAATCGAAAAGTGTTCGTTCGAAATGTTACATTTCCGTAAAAGCCTAGTTTGAAATTATAAATATGCCCTTGGTATTGTCTCTATATTATTTAATCTTATATGGAAATAATCTTATATGGAAAGGTTTTATGGAAAAGTTGATGAAGGATGACTCAGACTAGACATATCTAACCAAAATGAGGATCGTGTAAAGTAAAAGAGGACGAAATTTTTAAATTAATATTTTATAAGATATTCTGTAAATCTTCCAAGAAAACAAACATATCGTCCAGAATAGAAGTTTTGTGAATAGTCGCTGTTCAGTTTATTCCATGTTATTATTATAACTCAAAATATTTTCGAGCACCATGATAGGAACATGCAGCTTATGACAAAATAGTTTAATAGTTTATAGAAAACCAATAATAAGGCTTCGGTGTACTTTTCACCGAAATCGAGACGCATTAATTGAATATAAAGAGTCGTAGGTATCCTTGAAGATCTACTTGATTAGAACGCGGTTATTAAATAGTTCTCTGCTTTGAACCGATACAATTTGTCTAACAAACGAAATCTCATCATTAGTACAAGTATTATTATGAAACTGTTACAAAATTTGCCTTCGAGACGAAACAATCACTGTTGTTATCCAAGTAGCCATGGGAATTGTTAGTTCGGTTATCCCAATCCATCATACTACAAATACAAACAATCGATACGTGGTCAGTATAGACATGACTGTAACAGTTTAGAATAAAGCCTTTTTGTGATTGTCGTGACTGGTACTTTAAAAAAAAAGGGGGTTTTATTGAAGGATTTTCAAACTTCATTGGATGTTGGTATAGGTCTATCATTTTTATAGTAAATATTGCAGAGTATAAAGTAGAGCTTTGTTGGACTTTCAATTATAATAATTTCAGGTCGGAATTATAAGTTAAAATGAACTACTTTCAGTGTATTTTATTTTCCTTTATTAATATTTAAGACTTTTGTTTATTTTAGTTTTTAGTACCTTTAGGACCTTCGATGTTAACAACAAACCCAATATATACTTATATTGTTTTTTTGTACAGCGGCACTCAAACGCAAAATCTCTGAAGCCCGTGCGGATTCAACCCTTTTTCAAAACAGCTTAATTAATATTTACCTGATAACGTTGTCTACTTTAATAACGTTTTTCGGTAATTTCGCAGTTTGAGGGTAACGATTATGTAAAAACGGCTGAATTTGGTGCAACCAGGTAAGGTTAATAGAGTATTATTACTGGCTTACCCTTTTGCGGTCGACATTAAAGTAAATGAACTTAAATTAAAACGTTCCTTCGTAATACTTCTGCGGCGGTAAATTTAAGATACTATTCTCATATATACGCTATGAAATTAATTTAAATAAAATAGTCCTTATGAATAATGCCGCAAAGCATGAAATTATTTAAATTAATATGTACGATAATGATTAAAGGGTTGTTCTCCTTTTCTTTTTTGTTTAGTAAAAAATGACGGGATTTAGTGTTGTTATGAGTTTGTTTTTTGCACCAAGCCAGTGTTTTTATTTCTTAATTGGAATAACAATATAATAGTGAAAATAGTATACATAAAAAGAATTTAAATGTTAAGATGGCAGTGGCTATGATTTATTATTATTATTATTGTTATTAAGTAAACAGTAGTCTCCGGCTAATAAAAACTGAAATAATAAGGTCGCATTTCAATAAGTAAAATGGAAGTGCTAAAATAAATTGTTCCTGCAATTTCTATCAAATAAATAGATTTTTGAAAATTGAACGCATTGTTAGCCGCGCGTTAATATTATATATACACACAAGGTCTACGGGGACTTAATATCTCACTCGGGTGCTCGTTAAGTGTTTTCGAAAGTCAACATTAGTATGAAATATGAATTAATGGCCGCTGAGTGACGCCACGTAGTCGGCAGCATACGACCCACCATAGACGCGTGTAAGAATTATAATTTGTACAGTTGTGAATATGAAATATTTTTATTTTTCCTGACTATTCTCTTTTATTATTATTACCGGGTAGTCAACTTGAATAGTCTACTATTATTTAGCACTGTATATTTAAAGAAACGAATTAAAAAAACTGCCATTAAATAACAAAGTTCGGAAGCATTTTTATCACTGAAGGAGGAGGTCGAACATGTCTTTACTGGTGGTAGGACCTCTTGTGAGTCCGCGCGGGTAGGTACCACCACCCTGCCAATTTCTGCCGTGAAGCAGTAATGTGTTTCGATTTGAAGGGTGGGGCAGCCGTTGTAACTATAGACTGAGACCTTAGAACTTATATCTCAAGATAGATGGCGCATTTACGTTGTAGATGTCTATGGGCCCCCGTAACCACTTAGCACCATGCGGGCTGTGAGCTCGTCCACCCAATTAAGTAATAAAAAAACACGATCATGACCAATGCTGGAAGTACAACAAACACTATTTTTGATAAGCGATGCTCTTTGGAATCTAATCATTGAGCAATTGTTTGTGATTGTCCTTCTTCAAACGAGACTTGTAGAGAGTAATTAACGGTAGGCAGCGGTAAGTGCTCAGTGGTAGCCAGCGGCGTGACCAACACGTGGGTCGTCTGCCTACAGCGGCAACATAAAAAAGCCCCAAGTATACCACATTCATGCATAGTGCTTTTTAATGGTGCTCTTGTTGTTTATAAAAGCCAAACTTGATCTCTCCTGAAGAATTCTGATTAACGTATACGTAGAGTATTTTTTTGACATCCTCACTCCATTAGATCACATTATCTCATGTGTTATGAAAATATTATACAAATAACTAAAAGTAATTCACTGAACGATATCTTTGTTATTCGACGATAATAAACAACAAGTTTTTGTAAATACTACTATGTATAAATAAATATTTCCCACTATAAATACAGGCTTTCAACCTCTATTTAACTCCCTCAGGGAACTATTATTAATAATCTTTTCTTGTTCGTAGACAAAATTGGCTTTGAATGTTCGTGATCTTTCTTAGTCAGTATATAAGTTTTATTAAATAGAAATATGTATATTCTAATATAAACATCTCCTTTGTAAAAGCATTTGCATGAAATTTTTCTGAAAATAAATACACAAATACAGTCTAAATTAAATTTCTGGAACGAGTAAATACACTTGCGTTTGTTTTATAAAAATACTCACTCTTTATAAAATTCAGTTTTATTTTCACAGCATATCTTAACTGCCATATCTAACTGGGTCTAACATAAACATGTCGACTCCACAGTATTCCATTAACAAACGCGCATAACCAAGTAAGCCGAGTCGGGCGGACTATGATTGATTATTCCGTATTCTGTTACCAGATCTTTCGGAAAGCTCATTCGTAAAGGACCTGGACTCGAGCTTCGGAAAGTTCTCGACGCATTTCTGTTACAATGAACAGACACGACCATAGATACAGTATTTACAATCCAAAACGAAATGAGGCAATGTGGAAAAGGGAATTATTCGTTAACAACGAAGGAAAGGACATAAAAGGTACAGACAGAACAGAAAGAGAATAAATAAAATGTTATTATTGAAGCGTAGTTTGAGGGAAATAAGTTATTTTCGTAAACAGAACTATAAAATTCTTTTGGCAGAGTTCAAATGCAACGATCATTCTTATTGTTTTTCCAAAATGAAGTTTGAGTATCTTTAAGTTTTAATATTTGAATTGGAAATGTAAAGAATAATTATAGTAAAATTTCGTTTGATTCTTTTTTTAAAAAGGGTATATTAAATTACATATATAAATGTAGCATATGATATCTTGAAATCAGTGATCGTGAATTGGTTCTACAGAATAGAAAGCTATTGTTTTTAATTTATAATTTTTTAGTGATTAATTTTCATATTATAATATTCCATTTTAAGTATTTTTTTAAGAAAGTGATTTTTCCAAGTTTCAATACTGTATTGTTACGACTATGTATAAATAATCAGTTAATATCCAAAATTGCAGCGGCAGCGATTGTTTATCAGGGTAGTAAACGGCTCTTAATGGCTTAGTCTTTTCATATTCAAATGACTACACATTAATATAGATACTCTTTCTCTATGTTCTTTTTGTAATTACAAACTTATTTACAACACTTAATCAATTTTAGATTTTCAAATCAAGGATATCTACGGACCAGAGATAACGGATAAAGATGGAGCGCTTTTGGATAAGCACGACAGTTTTTATTTGAATACGAAGAGCTTACTTGTTCTCTTCCAGATAATGGGTGTGATGCCGATTATGAGAGTTCCAAAAAGTATGTTTCGAGAAAATTAATGCAAAAAAATATTGTTACGAATAAATATCCTAATTAAAGTCCTTTAACTTCTGGCCACGATAACTATAGAGTACTCAAAGCGTGGGAAACAATATAATTATAATAAAATGCAAGATTAAACAGTAAAAACAGTTTTGTTTATGTCTCGCAATAACTAAAGAAAATATTAACTCGTACCATGATTTATAATTTTATTGAAAGCTATCTACTTCTAACTAACTTCTTTCCAGCAGTTTTCAATCTAATTTAAATGATTTTGCTAAAGATCGCTCAGAAATATTGGATACTCAATACAATTCAAAATCGTGATAAATTTTTAGTGTATAATAGATATCCAAGAAAAGTTAAAGCAATTGAATAAAATTTAATGTTTATAAAATGAGAAGAATATGGCCCACACGATTGTAAATGGTTACCGTCTCTCATGAGAAGTAAAACGAAGGGAACAGCCAAGCTTCTTGATAATTGAAACGACCCATGAAAACAAGATGGTGGCAAATTCGAACGTCTATATTTTGTGCGGCGTTAAATTTAGTTTTGACTTTGCATTAGTTATTACTTAAAATAATATTTAATAAGTATATCCGAAAATAATCGTGAGATAAATCGTATCGTTTTCATTATGAACCCAGATGACAACTATATAAAAGTATTTCCTAGATATTCAATGAAGCTACGGATAAAAAGCTAACAACCAGATTTCTTAAAAAAACAACATCTTGTATGTTCCAAACACTAGATTTTAAATTTGTGTTTTAAAAAAAAATATACGGGTAGAAAGCACGAATTTCCCGAGATTCAATAACCTCTCAAAGAATGTTGAGATTGTTCAAGTTTGAGAGCACACTTCTCTCGTGTGAACCACAATGCTGTTATAAAATATCGTCACTGAAACTTCAACTTTAGCCGTGAAATTTTTCAATGACTTTCGAAATAAATTATCCGGGAAAATTTTATTCTGAAATGTTGTTGTTATTGTATGGGCTCTTTCAGCAAAAGTAGTGTTTGTACAATTAGTAGATTCACATACATACATACATACATTAAGTCACCCAACACTCTTCTTCTTCTTCTTAGTCGAATACTTCATTGCTGAAGGTCGTGTCCCTGAAAGCCCTTCGTGGCTCTTTGTACCATCAGCTTCCATTTGCTTCGGTTTTCGGCTTCTCGCAGGGCGTTCGCAACAGAGAGTCCAGTAAGCGCAGTTATCTGATCCGACCAACGGTTTGGTGGCCGGCCGGGGGATCTTGTCCCTTCTACCTTGCCCAACACTCACTAAATTCATATTTATTTCAGTCAAAATTTTCATTTAGTTATTATTTACAGGTGCTCAAACAACAAGAAGAACAACCTATAATTGGATATCAAAAGCCACTCTGTGGGCTTACTTAGTCTGGGGTCTTGAATGCATTATTGTTGTTAAAGGTGAGCTTAACAACTCAACCTGAACTTTGAGACAAAGACCGAATATTCCATTAGAATACTTCCAAGTGAAAACTTTGTTTACTTAATATTTTAATTAAGAGTACTCTGTCTGATGAATAGCATCGAATCTGTTTTATCTTTCCTTTAAATTTTATTTTATTTTTATTAAATTTAACAATTAATATTTAAATAATAGTCAATACTAAAAATAGGTAGTCTTTTGTGAGTCGGAGTTTATATTCTTTCAAGTGAAATTCGATACTTTTTTAGTTGGACAAGAGCGTTTGGCTAACTTCCAGATCGGCTCTAATAAGCGTTTTGATGAGGTTATTTACAACATCATATTTCTGAGTATACTTATACCGCACTTCCTTCTGCCTATCGCTTCTTGGAGGCACGGCCCTCAAGTGGCAATCTTTAAGAATATGTGGACCCACTATCAGGTTCGTATGAAGTCTAAAAAAAATTGTAGCAGGATATTTTTTCTTTGATTTTATTAAGAACATATTAGCTCGACGTAAACGAAAAACAATATTCATCTATCAATATTCAATATTCTTAGGTAAATTCTCACCGCATTAACTTTTTTGATTTTATGAAATAAAAAAAATGTCGTTCCGCGTCCCCCAAATAATCTAAATAAACTAAACGCGTAAATTCATTTTAAAAGGTTAAACTGTGCATAGAGCAAAATACCTACTTTAGTAAAATCTAATTTTACGACCATGTACTCATAAGTTAATATGACATAAATCATAATTATGAGTATGACCAGTTTTCATTTTCAGCACTACATTTTTCTCATGCCCTGTTGTTTTTTTAAAGGTCAGCCAGAAATCTTACATATTATTGAATTATTTTTTCCATGTTTTTTTTTAAATAATCCAATACTTTTACAATTAAATTTTAGTTAATTTTAGCTATCTACTAGATGGATCGACGACCTAGTGAAAACCGCTGGGTCACATTAGATGCAGGTTTTACTGGTGGTAGGACCTCTTGTGAGTCCGAACGGGTAGGTACTACCACCCCGCCTATTTCTGCCGTGAAGCAGTAATGCGTTTCGGTTTGAAGTATGGTGCAGCCGTTGTAACTATACTGAGACCTTAGAACTCATATCTCAAGGTGGGTGGCGGCATTTACGTTGAATATGTCTATGGGGTCCAGTAACACCAGGTGGGCTGTGAGCTCGTCCACCCATCTAAGCAATAAAGGAAAAAAAAGGTGGCAACGGACCGGTCTCGCAGTAGATCGATTGGAGATACCTATGTTCAGCTTTGGACAGCTTATGCTATATATATCATATCATATCATATCATATCATATCATATCATATCATATCATATCATATCATATCATATCATATCATATCATATCATATCATATCATATCATATCATATCATATCATATCATATCATATCATATCATATCATATCATATCATATCATATCATATCATATCATATCATATCATATCATATCATATCATATCATATC